TAAAAGGGGTATTTTTAAATTTTTATGGGCCGGCCCTTTAAGAAATGCAAAAATGAATTAAACCCAATAAAACTTTTTTTTTCTTTTTATTTTAAAATTTAAAACAAATTTAATTGCTGGAAAACCTCTATAATTTTTTTTGAAAATTTTGGTTTTTTTTTTTAAAATTTGAAGACGTTTGTGGTAAGCCAAATTTCGTTTTTAAAAAAATAGCCCGTAAAATGAAAAAAGATTTTTTTTCTAATTGGGGTACTAAAAATTTTTTACGATTTAAAAAATCGTAATAGAAGGGGTTGTAAACCAATAAAATATATCCCCAAATTTCATTTTATTTGTCTGCAAACCCAAAAAATTTTTTTTGCTTTTTTTCTGAAAAAACCTAATTTTAAAAAATTAATTTTCAACTTTGGCAAGTCAATTTTACCCCAATTTTACATGTAATTAAAGCTAATAGAAATGTAGTGTAACTAAAAATGATATTAAAAAAAAATGAAAATTTATTATAATTTAAAAAGTTAAAATTTTCCCAACTTTCCTGGAATCCCAAAATGGTTGGGAAAAGTTTGTACTTGCGTTTTATTGTTTTTTTTTTCCCCCTTTATTTAAACCGTCCGGAATTCCAAAATTTTTTTGAAAAAATTTGGTTTTTCGGGGGAAATTTTAGTATTTTAAAATATAATTTGTTTCCAATGAAACAAATTTACTGTCGGTTGGCCCAAAAAAAGGGGAAGGCTTTTTGGGTTAAAGAAATTTTTAGGTGTCCTTTCGTGTTGGAGATCGAGACCGGGGCCCTACCCCCCATATTTTTTTTTTTTCTTTTCTTTTATAACTTTTTTTTTCAACATTATCCGGGAAATAAAAAACTTTTTCTTTTTTTATGTTTGTTTTGTTTTTTTTTAAAATGTTTTGCAATTAAATCCCCTTTTTAAAAAACAATTTCTTTTAAAATTAAAAATTTTAAAGGAATTTTTGGAAATTAAAAATTTGAAAAAAGTTTGTTTCAATGGCGTTTAAAAAACCCCTACAAATTTGAGACAATATTTCTTAGTTGTTTTATATTTTGTGTAGCAATATTGGAAAACACTCGGCCCCCTTTTTTTGAAAAATATTTTCCTAACAAAATAAAAAAAGGAGAATAAAAACAAAAGGCAAAAGTAAAAGGAATTTTGACCCACGACCCCCAGTATTTTTTTCATCCCCTCTAACCCCTCTTGCTTTAAGCGATTTTACCAAAGCCTATGATTAAAAACTGGTGTACTTTTCAAAACATTAATTTTTTACTTCCCTTTTTAATTCTCGGGGAAACTACCGGGCAGAACCCAAGTGAAAATCGAATATTTAAAAATGGAAAAATGCCTATAAGTATTCAAAATTGACAGGGGGCCCCAAAAAAATAGAAATAACTTTTCTGAAAAAAAAAGTATTTTTTCTTGAAAATTTAAAAAAAAAAAGGGCCCCTTTAAAAATTTTTCCCTTTTAAAATTTTATCCACTTGAATAAAACAAAATTATGCAGAGGAACTAAAAATCCCCCAAATTTATATCGGTCCCCGCCCCAAAGGCCCAATTTTTCTGGAAATAAAATTTTCAATCAAAACCCTTTTAAAAAATGTTTAAACTCCCATTTTAAAAAACAAAAAAGTCCGTTTTTGGAAAAACTACTTTTTGTTATAGGGCAATCGGAAGATTTTCGGGTTGAACAATTCGTCTAACGGAAAGGGCAGAGAAGTTGCGATTGTTTTACAGGTGTTGTTAAAATAACAACGGTCGAATGGGATTCCCCTTTCGCGAATTAAACCCTTTTTGGGTACGGAAAATGGGCATTAACTTCAAAATTATTCCTTAAAAATTTTCCTTTTTAATAAATGGTAGTTTAATAAAAGTAAATTTTAAAAATTGGGGGGGAACCCTTGTTTTGCTATATTTAAAACATGTGTGTTTTTAAAAAAAACAATGTGTTTTAAAACATTAAAATTTTTCATTATGTTTAAATGAAAAGCGCTAAAAAAAAAGACCCAAACAAAAATTTAAATTTTTTTAAACTCATGCATTTTTTATAATTATATAAGTAAATTTTTCATATGTTTTTTTAAAAATTAAATTGGGAAAATTCTTAAATTTAATTTTTTTATTTTTGCAATTTAATTTTTTTACATTTTTAACCCCCTTTTTTTATTTTTAAAATTTCTTTTTCAAAACGTTTCACATTGAAAAAGTCTAGTTTAAAGTTGGGTTTCCATCGTTACCAATTTATTCATTTTTTTTATTTGAAATTTATTTGAATTTGGTTGGTTTCAAGTGTCAGCATAAAAATTTTGTAAACAAAATTTTTCCTTCTCTAAGCAGGATTTTGGTCGGGTTTTTTTACCCTAATTGGGTGGGGCTTCCTTTTTTTTTTAATTTCTCTGAAATTTAAAAAATTTTTTTAAAAGGCTCATTTAAAATTAAAAAAAGTTATTTTTTTAAAAAAGATTTTCCCAAAAAATTTTTTTTTTTCTTCCCCTTTTTTAAAGTCAGGTTATATTTCCCCAAAAATTCTCCTTGGTTTTAAAAGCTTTGGGGGATTTTTTTACTTTGTTTTTTGGCCCAAAAAAGTTTAACCCTTTTGTGGGTTTTAAATATTTTGTATGGAAGTTAATTTAAAAACTATTGTTTACATTTTGGGTACCGTTATTTAAATAATTTCTCATTCCGCACACTTTTTCCCGGTGATATTTTAAAATTTAAAAAAATGAAAAATTACATAAACATAAAAACTTTTGGAAATTTTTTATTTTAGTCCAAGGGGGATCTAATGGGTTATTAAAGCTTTTTAGTTCCAAATTTTTGAAGATTTTTAATTGTGTTCCTTGACTGGGTGATTTCAAAGGGGGAAAATAACAAATTAAAATTGGTTTTCAAAAAAACATTGGGACCCTTGTTTTAACCTTAAGAATATAAACCCCGAAACATTTTTGTGATCTAGGGGAAAAAAAGAAAGTTTTTTCATTCTTTTTGGGGCTTTTTTGGTTTTTTTTTTGGGGGCCCAAATCCTTTTTTAGTGAACCAAACCAAAAGATTTCGTCCTTTTTGAAAACTTGACCCAAGCTGAAATTTTCCAAAACAAAGATTTTTCTACCTGTATATTTGCTTTTAAAAAATTTTTTGTTTTTTTTATGCGCACGGAAAATTTTTTTTCCCTAACTTTACCCCTGAAAATTATGGGGCCAAATTTTTTAATTTTTTTAAGAGTCTTTCCTGATCACACATTCATGAAACCCAAATTTTTGGGAAAAACCTTTTAAAATTTTCATTTTTCGTTTAAAGCATGTGAAGTTAGAAAATTGCATTTTTTAAAATTTAAAATCTTAAAAGCCCTTTTGGAACGCCTCGCCATTAATTCGGAAAAGAAAATAGTTCTATCATGAGCCTTTTTTGAAAGTTTTATCAAATCTTCAACAATAAACCCGGGGATTAATTATTTATATTTTCCCCGGAAATTGGGCAGTTTTTAGGGTTTCCCAAAGTTTTATTTGCCCAAAAATTTTTTGATTTTGGGAAAAGTTAAAAGAAAAACAATAACTTTCATTACCGAAATCAACTCATAAAATTTTCAATTCACCATTTATTTGAATTTTTTTTTGAATACTTAATTCAATAGGGTTGAAATTGAACCTACGCAAAATATTAACCGGAAAAAAATTTGATTTTTTGGTGATTGGTTTTTTAAAACCCCCAAAAAATATTTTCAATTCGTTTCTTTTATTTAATGGAAAATGAAATCTGATATACCCCCCCCAAAAAATACCCTTATAAACCCCGTGAAATTATAATTAAAAAATTTCCAGCTATTTAAAATTTCCTTTCCCCAAAAAAACTCCAAAAGAACCCCATTAATAATACATTTAAAATTAAAACCCGTGACTTTCCCCGATAAAGAATAAAAAATTAAATTTTATTTCAATTTTTCAACCCAAATAAAACAAAAAGTTTAATAAATATTTAAAAATAAAACAAAAAATAGCCCCAAGGCCCCCTTGGGGTCAAAAAAATTTTGCTCAATTTTTCCCCCATTTTCTTAACACCCTATATCAGCCCCCTAAAAAAATAATGTAAAAAAATTTATTATATTAAAATAATATTTTTTATTTAAATTTATGTTGTTTTTTACCAATATTAACATGTGTTTTGTCTATACCCCTTTGCAGTTTTGCAATAGATGAAATTAAAATTTTTAAAAACGCATTGACAAGGAAAAAATTTAGTATCCAAAAACGGGCAAGCCCAGAAAACCACGTACAGAAAAATGGGTTAATTGAACAAGTGAAAGGAAGTATCCGTGCGCAAATCTACCCTTTTGGAAATAGGGGCTAAGAAAGATTAAACCCCGGGAAAAATTGCCGGGTGGGGGAGGGTCTTGTTTAAATTTTAAAGCCCCCACTTTTTCAAAAATATTTTTTACTTTTTCCCTTTCCCCCGGAGCGTGCATGTCGCTTGAGAAGGCCAGGGGCATCCGGGGAAGATTTGAAGAAATGGGGGGCGACGAAAAAAGTCGAAAATTGTGCCCCGCGGGGCCCGTGCCCCGGTTGGGCCCGACTAAAGCCAAGGGGAGTGGCCTACAAAGTAGGCGCTTGGGTTTTACCAAAGGTGTGCTAAAGGGGGCGTGAGCCCCCAGCACGGTTTGACGGCTTTGAACGGAAAAACCCAAGTACCCCAAGCCCCCGTGTTAAATCATTTTCAACTGACGGTTTTGTTTAAATTTTTTTAAAGTTTCCCCTATTTGGTTTTTTTATATTTTAAAGCTTTGGAATTAACCCCCTGATAAAACCCTTTTGGTTTAAAAAAAAAAATTTTCGTTTCCCGCATCCCTTGCCTTTCAAAAGCATAATGAAAAAAGCCAAAATTTTTCTACTTTATTAAAATATCCAAATTCATCCCCCCAAACCCTTTAAAAGTATTTTTGGTTTTTTTATAATTTTTTATTGAATGATCTATCAGTACAAAACATAATTATAAGATGCTAAAAGAATATTGAAAATGTTACACATTTGTTATCTTTATTTCCAGAAGTCTTAAATTCATTCATTTTCTCTATCTGTATTTGTAGTTATTCATCAATATCAAATTTCAAGCACATGGCACAAATAAGATACACAGATTTTCATAACAGCACCAAATTTACAGAAATATCTGAACTTCTTTTTCATTATCATATTATAATAGCATGTATATAATTACATGTATATTATATATAAAATATTGCAGTGAAAGGGTAAAATAATATATATTTGTTCAGACAGTAAACTATGAGCCAGTCAGCCTTTTGGGATTACTTTTTTGTATTACACATGAATGTACCTGGTATATCATTAATTCAATACTAAGATTTTCATTCTGATTACATTCTGGTCCTAAATAATGCTTTCTTTTCTTTTTGTAAAAACATAATTGTTTTGTAATAGATCAAACTTCACAAGATTAAGAGATTTTTTAAACAATTTAACATTTACAATGCTAAAATATCTCAAATGGACTTACTCATTTTTTCATCTGGACAAAACCTTTTATTTGTTTTAGGAATTTTTTTAAAAAATATACGCTTAATGAATAGCGAACAGTGCCAACCATGATCAGATGACAATGTCCTGTCGGCTGATCATTGTCTTCACTGGTCACGTGTATTGCAGGGTCAAGGTTAAGAACAAACATGTATCCACTATGTTGAAGAAACTTGACAGATACATTAAATTTACATTAAATTTACTTTGATGTTTAAAAAAAGCCAACTATTTTCTTTCTTAACAAACTTTTGTTGAGACTTTTTCATATACACAGTAAGGGTATCGCTTCAAGGACAGGGACAAATTTTGGGTAATATAACTCTTAATACACTAAGCAAGGTTTTTCATGTCAAACATGGATGTTAAAAATATTTATAACAATTTTTTAAGACAGCACAATTGCTTTCAAAATGCATAAAAATTAAAACAAAAAGATTGCATAAGTTCAATGTGTATAAAGATAACATAAACGCCAAAAGTGTGCAATAAATCATTGTTTAAAAAGTTGCTGTATAATAATATTCCTTCAATTAAATAACAAATTTTACATAAACAAAATAATAACAACACAAAGAATATACACACTGTGTCACAGACACAATATTCACTGACAAAAAACTGTCCATTAACAGTAACATCCATATAATACAACTGTTATTATTTTATCCAACATCCTATCCTATTCTTCATAACTTTGCTCATTCCCTGACACCTACAAAGTACAGGAATTTTATCATAATTCCTTATTTCAGAAAGTAGTCCTCATGTCCTTATTCTGGACCACTGGTTGCTAAGGAACTAAGTTGCTAGGGGACTGTGTGTTTGTATCCTTACTGTCACCTTTTTCTTTATTTTCTCCATTTTTGACAATCAGCCATTCATAAAGTACTAACCCAGTGGTTGGTGTGTCACGTGTTTAGTCACATACACTGTGAGGTCTCCAATTGCTAATGTTTCCTGCAAAGTAACATTGGTATTGTTAAAATACAAGCAAACATAGTCTAACCTAAAAGCCAGTGCATTAAGTGCATAACAAAACTTTAGCAGGTGATGGCAGAAAGTACCGAAGCAACAGTGATGGCTAAGAGCTTAAGGTGTCTACCTCTCAACCCAGGGAACATGGGTATAAACCCTACTCCAGTCATGGCCATCTTTTCTCATATGTCTCCAGGCCTTAAGGTTATAAAGAAATTATCCAAACTTAAACTCAGATCTCAGGTATTTGATTAGTCAGAAAATGTCACAGAATGTACACTGACCAATGAAAATCCTGAGATTTGAGACAGAACTCAGGAAAAGGTTTATAATCTCATAATCTCAAGACCAATACTAGGTCTGAGGTTATAAAGAAATCCTCTAAGCTCAAACTCAGATCTCAGGCATATGATTGGTCAAAACTTTCATATCATATACACTGACCAATGAAGATCCTGAGATTTTGGACAGAACTCGGAAAAAAAAGTTTTATAGCCTTGAGTCCTTGTTATTTCCAGGAAGCGATAAATATTAGTTTATAGAATTTGCCAGCGGTTGAATCTATAGTAATTGTGATAGCTGTGCACTCATATGCAACATTATCACAGAAAATCATGTGATGCAAAGAAGGCAAGAAATTGAGAATCTGAGTATAAAGACTGAATGCTCTACAAACTGGGCTGCATGACATATGTTGTTTTACCTTTATCCTTGTATCTCTGTTTCGTATTTTTACAGTTCCAGTCTCTATTGTTGAATCATTTACTATTATTGTGAGTGGTACGCCCATTTCATCAAATCTGGAATATGTTAATGTACAATTAGAACAATGATGAAGGCTTGCTCAAAACCCTTTACCTTACTGTTAGTGAAAAGATATATGTTAGGTGTTTAATAAATCCAAACTATCAAAATTATCTGGATTAAAAGAGTGCAATACACATCATGTATATAACATACATTTCGTAAAAATCTGAAAATAATGTTTGACTAAGTTCAGATAAACCATAATCATTGTAATCAGGTTATAAATTATAGAAAATTCATAATTTATAATTTCCACAACAATCCCTGTAAAGGAAACGAAGTGAAACACATTACACATTTACAAAATTTAACACTATTTCATTTTAAATTTGAACTACAAAGTACATTTGTATTTCATTACTACAAATAAATCAGTAATACTGGAAATGTGTCATCATGCCATGGATGCCCCCGCATGCAGCCAAAATTTCAGAAGTTATAATATTTAGTTCTTTTTTTTAGTTAGTTTTTTTTATGTATTTTATATAGGAAATACTTGTATTTCATAATCCGTGAATGTTTATATACATATATATCGAAATCTTTATTAACTTTATTAATTTTTAATGAAATTTAATATAACGTAACGTAACAATGTATGTTTCCCGCCATCTCGGACGGTGACGTCATGTGACGTCTCTTCCTGTTTATTCACTTCCTGTTTATTCACTGACGAAAAACATATTTGTTCGAAATCGATTTGAATATTAAAAAAAAATAACTGAATGTACGCATGTGGTTGTTCTTTTTGGATTCATAATATTTAGTTCCAAATTTGTTTGCACAAATTATTTTTTTCATTTTAAGTTCAAAGCCCTTAAAACTTTTCAATGTTAACACAAACCATTTTCATACAATGTTCAAGGCACTGAAATTATTCAGTCTTAACCTTTTAAAAATAGCATATTGCATATTTGTAGCCAAAATAATGGCTAAAAGTATGAGTGCTGAAACTGAAAGTCCAAAATTTTTCCAACATTCAGAAAAGATAAGTTTGTCCAAAATCATTGAACCACGACCAAATTCAAACTTAAACTGCTTATTCCTAAGATGTATCTATATTATTTTCAAAGTGAAAGGGACATAACTCTGCCAAAAAATCATCAAATCATGACTAAATTCCAACTTGATCTGCGCATTCCTTTGACATATCCATATGTCAAATTTGAGTTGAATATGTAACACTGTTGGGTAGATAATGAACAGAAACTGTAAATTTCATATTATTTTCAAAGTGAAAAGGGCATTACTCTGCCAAAAATCATTGAACCATGACTAAATTCAAACTTGGCCTGCGCATTCCAAAAACATGTCCATATGTCAAATTTGAGTTGAATGTGTTGTACTTTTGGGGAGATAATGAATGGAAACCGAAAATTTCATATTGTTTTCAAAGTAAAAGGGGCATAACTCTGCCAAAAATCATTGAACCATGACCAAATTCGAACTTGACCTGTATTTTCTTATGACATATCCATATGTAAAGATTGAGTTGAATGTGTTGTACCCTTAGGGAGATAATGAACCAAAACTGAAAATTTCATATTATTTTCAAAGTAAAAGGGGCATAACTCTGCCAAAAATCATCGAACCATGACCAAATTCGAACTTGACCTGTATTTTCTCATGACATATCCATATGTCAAGTTTGAGTAGAAAATGTTGTACCCTTGGGGAGATAATGAACGGAAACTGAAAATTTCATATTATTTTCAAAGTAAAAGGGGCATAACTCTGCCAAAAATCATCGAACCATGACCAAATTCGAACTTGACCTGTATTTTCTCATGACATATCCATATATCAAATTTGAGTTGAATGTGTGCAACCGTTCTTAAGATAATGAACGGAAACTGATGATGACGGAATGACAGAATGACGGAAGGACGGAATGACAGAAGGACGGAATAGGGTAACACTATATGCCCCAGCCATTACATGGCGGGGGCATAATAAATGACATACAGTAGGTGGCATATTTTGAAAGATATATAATTAGAGATATACAAAGATGGATATACAGTGAGTGATATACATGTATAAGTAGTGATATACAATGAGTGATGTACTATATAAATGATATACATTGAGTAAAATTCAATGAGTTACATACAATATGTGAAATACAGTGAGCTACATACATTGAGTGAAAAACATTGAGCTACATATAATGCATGAAATACAGTGTGTAACATACACTGCATGAAATACAGTGTGTCACATACAATAATGGATATACAGTGAGTTACATATAATGAGTGAAATACAGTGAGTTACATACAATGAGTGATATACAGTGAGTTACATACAATGAGAGAAATACAGTGAGTTACATACAATGAGAGAAATACAGTGAGTTACATACAATGAGTGATATACAGTGAGTTACATACAATGAGTGAAATACAGTGAGTTACATACAATGAGTGAAATACAGTGAGTTACATACACTGAGTGATATACAGTGAGTTACATACAATGAGAGAAATACAGTGTGTTACATACAACAAGTGATATACAGTGAGTTACATACAATGAGTGATATACAGTGAGTTATTGACAATGAGTGATATACAGTGAGTTACATACAATGAGTGATATACAGTGAGTTACATACAATGAGTGATATACAGTGAGTTATTGACAATGAGTGATATACAGTGTGTTACATACAATGAGTGAAATACAGTGAGTTATTGACAATGAGTGATATACAGTGAGTTACTGACAATGAGAGAAATGCAGTGTGTTACATCCAATGAGTGAAATACAGTGTGTTATATATAATGAGTGATATACAGTGAGTTACATACAAGGAGAGAAATACAGTGTGTTACATACAATGAGTGAAATACAGTGAGTTACATACAATGAGTGAAATACAGTGTGTTACATACAATGAGTGATATACAGTCAGTTATATACAATGAGTGAAATACAGTAATTTACATACAATGAGTAAAAGACAGTGAGTTACATACAATGAGTGATATACAGTGTGTTACATACAATGAGTGATATACAGTGTGTTACATACAATGAGTTATATACAGTGAGTTACATACAATGAGTGAAATACAGTGTGTTACATACAATGAGTGATACACAGTGAGTTACATACAATGAGTGAAATACAGTGTGTTACATATAATGAGTGAAATACAGTGAGTTACATACAATGAGTGATACACAGTGAGTTACATACAAAGAGAGAAATACAGTGAGTTACATACAAAGAGAGAAATACAGTGAGTTACATACAATGAGAGAAATACAGTGAGAAACATACAATGAGTGAAATACTGTGAGTTACATACAATGAGTGAGATACAGTGAGTTACATAGAATGAGAGAAATACAGTGAGTTACATACAATGAGTGAAATACAGTGAGTTACATACAATGAGTGAAATACAGTGAGTTACATACAATGAGTGATACACAGTGAGTTACATACAATAAGAGAAATACAGTAAGTTACATAAAATGTTTGTTTGTTTGTTTTGGGTTTTACGTCATATCGACACAGTATAGGTCATATCGCGACGTTCCAGCTTTACTGGTGGGGAAAGACCTCAGGTGCCATTCCGTGCATTATTTCAGGCACGAACGGGCACCTGAGTAGAACCATCGACGTTCCGTAAGCTAGCTGGATAGCTTCCTCACATGAAAGAATCCAAAGTCCCTGTCAGGATTCGAACCCACAGCGTTGAGGGGCAGGTGGTTTGAAGTCAACGACCTTAACCACTCGGCCACGGGCGCCCCATAAAATTACATACAACGAGTTATATACAGTGAGTTTCATACAATGAGTGAAAATCAATGAGTGAAATACAGTGTCTTACATACACTGAGTGAAATACAGTGTGTTACATCCCATGAGTGAAATACAGTGTGTTACATACAATGAGTGATATACAGTGATTTACATACAATGAGAGAAATACAGTCAATGATTTTTGGTGGGGGACATAGAGAGTGACAACATGAGTGATACAGAATGGGTGATATTTAACCAGTAATATATGAATAATTCTGTTTCTAGTATATCTCGCTAATACAGTCTAGCTCTCAACCATTTATCAGACAAGGGGGCCATTGGTCCCAATGCGCTTACCTGAGTACTAAATGCAATTGATATACAAAAAGTGAAGTTACCAGGTCTTAAATTCAATTTTGAGCCTAGAGCTATAATTTGAACAATCTTGGTAGAGGACCTATAGATAATATTATATACCAAATATCTAAGCTCTAAGCCTTGTACCTTTAAAAATGAAGATTTTTTAAAGTTTTTACTATATACCTATCAGGAAAACCTAAGACCCCCTGGGGCGGGGCCAATTTTGACCCCAGGGCTATAATTTGACCTACTTTGGTAGAGGACCTATAGGTGATATTACATACCAAATATCTAAGCTCTTAGCCTTGGATCTTCAAACAAGAAGATTTTTTAAGTTTTTACTATATACATATAAGGAAAACCTATGACCTCCTGGGGCGGGGCCAATTTTGACCCCAGGGCTATAATTTGAACAACTTTGGTAGAGGACCTATAGGTGATATCATATACCAAATATCAAAGCTCTAGGCCTTGTACTTTCAGACAAGAAGATTTTTTAATTTTGCATTTTTCAAACTCCTTTTCTCGCCCCGTGGCCTACTTATGCAACAGACCAGAACAGTTTGGTTACTGTGCAGTCATTGGTTTCTGAGAAGATGTTGTTTTAAAGAAATTATTGACGACGCACAACAACGGACTATGGGGGATTACAATATTCATTATTTGAAAAATGAAATACTGTTGAAAGTATCTATTCTAAAATATAGAAAGACTCACTAACCTTTCCATCTGCCAGTTCAAATTATTCTTGTAGTCACATATGTCAAGTATTTGATGTCCTTGTGCCCTCAGTAAACCAGCAATGTAAGTGGTGACCTCGTTAATTTCTTCTTTCATATTACCATCTCTACATAATCCTACTTGAAACGGGGCCAGTACTGGATTTAAGTGTAATACCTGACAAATATACAAAAGCACAGCTGTTTCATACACCATGAAATTTGTGTGTGTGTTTTTTTTTTTTTACAAATAATGATAAGCATTCTGGTGGCACTGACTGACAGTAGTTGAATACTGTAACAGTGATGTAATATTTAGTACCGAAGCATCAGTGATCACTGATGGCAAAGAGATTAATGTGTCTGCCTCTCAACCCAGGGAACATGGGTATGAGCCCTACTCCAGTAATGGCCACATTCTTTCCTAAGGAAACATAGGAAAATGCAGGAAGAGTTTATTAGAATAAAATACATATTGTAACAATGTATATTTTCTTGTGACCATGGTTCTACATCATTTTATGACTTGAGATTAACACAACCACAACAGTTCCATATTCATATTACATAGAACCATACTAATCACTCAAATTTCTGACTGACTGCCAGAAACAAAACATATCCCCTTTCCTTTGAAGGAAATAAATAATAATACATTTGACTGACCAGTAATGGACAGTTCCAAAAATATAAGCCAGATAAGTTCATTTAAGCAATTCAGGTAAGGGTTTAAAACCATTAGTATATAATGTCAAGGAATACTGGTATATTAAAGCAGCATGCCTCTAGATTCATGCAAAAGTTCATGAACATTTTGAAAATTTATTTTAAAGTAAAATATTGTGAAGTGAACAAAGTTACTTATTTACACGTTGCATATGGCTCTTACAATACACATAAATTACCAGAATGAGGTCAAAATATACAAAAAGAAGCCTTTACTGCATTAGTAATGCAGTAGAATAAAGGAGATACATACAGCAAAATCAATCATTTATTTTTAAATCTCAGTACATTTTTTCTCAAAAAAAAATGTTCATGAAATATTTTTGGCTTATCTGGAGGCAACTTTAAGTATGTACATGTTTCACTTTATCATCCCCTGTACCCTTCTCCACATAGGCATCATTTAGGAAGAGGGAGGTGGCCATCTCTAAAGTCATCTCACATTGTATCTGACATGGGAACACATCTTTCTTTCCACCATTATACTGAAATATTAATTTAAATTTCATAAATACGTCTATCATTTAACTCTCACAAAGCTGACTTTGAATTTTTTTCAACTTTTCTTATTTGAAAACAAGTCCATTCTTTATTTGATGAATTCCATAAACATACAGCATATTTTTTGAAGTAGGCACCAAACATCATTAGGATTTTGTTATTAAGAAGCCTAAATTAATTAACCAACACTAGAGAGTCTAGTCAGACTGCAATGTTGTGCAGGTTGGTCTGGATTTAAGCTGGTTGCACTGGTGGCATAGGGCAATCTGGAAAACTGGCCCTGTGTTCACTAAGAAAAGATCAGGATAAGGATCAAATGATTTCAATTTTATTTTCATTGTTTTATAAACTAAAATTGATCGTATTTATATATAAATTCAAAATGTAAAACGTTGCTGATATGTAAAGACACAACCCTATTTTGGGAAAAAAATGTACAAATAACAAAACAAATACAAAAATAATTGGATCAAAACAAGGATCAACTTTAGGATCAAAATCCATATTTAAAACAAATGTAAAATGCTCATATCTTGTAAAATAACAATAAATTTATACTTAAATTTCATAAACATGCTATTTCAAGTCAAATTTTATCAATTTAATATTAAGTATTTAATCTTTGAAGACTAACAATGGAGAATATTTGAGTTTATTAATTAGATCTTAATGAACACGAGACTATCATGAAGAGAACACAATATAGATCTAAAGAAGTTTCACATTGAAGGATATATTGAGGTTATAAAAAAAGAGTTGGGAGCACCACACTAAATACCTTATTCTTATACCTTTTACCGGACAAGGCGCTTGAATAATTAAATGCTAAAATCTCGCCTTTTCACCCAAGAGAATGAACTTTAAAACATCTAAATCATCTCTTCACACCAATTTATATTTATACTAAATGAAAAAAAATATAAGAATCAGCGAAAAAAAGCAGTAATTTTCTACTTTGTGATCATGATTTCTGCAAGCGTCTATAGGTACTGCTCCAACACTGTAGTGAGTTAAATCCAATAAATATTATTACCTCTTACCTTTTATAAATACTAATTCCTTATTTACAAATAAGACATGCTTACCTTAAAGTTTAACTGTGTCTGATCATGAAGAGATTTAAGATGTTTGTCTCCCATATTACAAATAGTTTCCACAGTCTCTAACCCCCATGGGAACTGGTACTGTATACGCCTACCTGATAATACCTCACTTGTCTCATCCATGTTAGACAGGGTGAAATCAGAAGAGTTATATGACAACTACAAAAGAAATAAATTTAATATATCTTAATTCTTTCTTTTATCAACTTTATTTCACAATCATTTAAGTTGCACGCTTATTCGCTCAAATCAGGCTAAGAACTATACATAAAATCGAGTTTGCATTTAATTCTGAGCAAATTACTTTAATAATAATAATCCTTTGTAGATTTTTGCCATTTTAAGTGTTTCTGTAAGAATTTCAAAATATTATGTTTTTAGGCTTTTTTTACCTCAGTGGAGCTCCTTTAATGGTAATGTTTTGTTATCAGAGGTTTTGTGAACAAGAAACTAATATTAGGCAACTTTTGGTAACAGTACAGAGCAGGGTTAGAATTTCATACTTTTTTCCACTAGAAAATTTTATTATTGTTTTTGCAAAAAGAATTTACAAAATTCGAATTTGGACTCCCATGATGCACAATAAACAATGACATCCAGTGGAAGTTTAATTTATTAAAATATTACAAAATTTACAATTTTGCTGGTCACCTGTGTTACATTTTCATGTAAGCAGCCTTTGTTAAGATAGTTTCTTTCAGCAGAAGAGTCTGAAATTTTACTTAACAGTTTACATGTACTGTAGTCGTCAAAATCTAACAACATTTTGCCAATGCTGAGGCAGTATAAAAATGCTATCTACTTTCCTTTTAAAAATATGACTTGACAAAATTTGCAAGTGAAAGGTAAAATCACTTATGAATTTCAAAATTCACTCGTATTTTTGAGTATGCTGAAAAAATGCAGCAATTTATTTCCTCTGGCTCTATACTGGTAGCACAGATATGTCACAATTGTAGCTAGCATTTTAAAGATTCAGAACAAACCTTTTTCCACCATGAAAATCTAACATTGACAAGTTGATCATATGTTGTGTTTACTGACACTGGGGAACAGAAATGTAGAAATTTAAAACAGGTCTCTGGTCCATAGCTGTTCAAATAAAAGACAAGAAATTAGCAAAAACTTTTCTCATGATTTCTTTTTTTCAAGTCCTTTCCAGAACTTAGATCTTCAATATATTAATACAAAAATCTTATTCATTTTAAAAGACATTTCAAAGATAAAATAACTTGCAGAGATATTTGTTTAATCCTCAAATTAGGCTACTACTGCCATTATACTTCAAAATGTATGTCAATGCTCATTTTCATTCCTAGTTATATGTATTTATACAATTAGTACAGTTGTTACAGAAAATAGTTAAACAAAATATTTTTGTTTCATTTTCATTCTGAATTTCTACCTAATGAAATTGCCCATGAGCTGCAAACATTTATGCAAATATAATGGCATATCATACTATAAACATGCTTTAACCTCTCTTGGTGCATCACCGTTTTGTCTATACATGTATATTGCTAAGGCATAGCAACAATTGATAATTCTGAGCGTTCTGACCTTCAAGTTGGTAAACAGGTTTATACCTGTCATCATATCATATTGTTACCTTAGTGCAATGACTGAGTAACTCCTATTAAATTAAGAACAACTTTTTCCATTACTGCACTAAGGTGATGAATTAAAACATTGTTTTATTTAATATAATTTTAATCAAGGAGCACCCAATCTATGAACTAGCCAGAATTTATTATTTTCAATGACACTGACAGTAGAACCAATATGACTGCCCTTAGCTAAATTTTAAATTACATTGTACTCAAAAATTGCAAACAAATACTAACAACAGTTTTCTTGATTTATTTATTTTTTATTTTAAGACACACTTAAACTTTAAGGCTACAAAATGTATATGGAAACTTTTCCGATTTCTTGATGGAAGAAGGTGCTTCTCCATACATTATTTCAGGCATAAGGGGGCACTGTGTGAGTAGAGCCATTGAACATCTGTTAGTTAACTAGATAGCTTCCTCACATGAAAAACAAATCCAAAACCCCAATGGGATTTGAACCCAGTAAGGAGCATGTGATTCCATGTCAACAACCTTAATGACTCAGCCTCAGAGGCCCTTTAATTTGTTAAAAGAGGAATAAAAAATAAACCTCACTATATTGTCAACTATTCTTACTTCCACAGGGGTTTTAGATTGTCTGACTGACTGCTAAGATCATTTGCACTGGTTGATATATGTGCTATAGAGAAAGGTATATTCTCATTGTGTAACTCAAACACCTGTGGGTAACACATTAGAGGATCTGTAAAAAAAACATAGCAGAATATAATCATCAATAATTATACAGACTATCAATTTATCAATCTTTTTAATGTAAGATTTCCATAATACTATAAAATAGTCAAAGAAGTATAGTGCTATTGTTTCAAGCTGTACTCGGGTAACAATCATGTTTCCTTACACGACATCAGTATTGCCCAGTCCAGAAAGTACCGGGTAGTGCAAAAATGCATTCAGATGCCAAAACAACCAAGCTAAAAGAAATGGTTTTGTTTGTGTAAAACCATCAATAAATGGGAGAACATAATGCATTGCACATTATTTTATTTCTCTTTTTAACAGTTTAAGAATTATTCAATGCACAAATTTTGAAAAGAATGGCCTATTATCTTGCATAAACTTAAAATATATGATCTTTTTAAAGATATTATTGGCATAGACAAAGATGGCCAGTGCTCCTTAGACTTTTCCATGCAATATAATTATGTTTTCATTATGATAATCATATTATAAATGGGAATTGTTTTTGGCTTAGACGCTGAGCCAGAGAGTTTACTCCCTGCACATGTGAACTATAAATAGGCATTTAAAATACAAACAATAATGCACTTTACCATCAGGTCCATGTAGAAGGAAGGAAGATTCAACTTTTGTCACCATCTTTTCAAGCCTAAAAACAGTAATAGCTATTATGACATGTCTGAAACACAAAAACCTTACAAATTATGACCTTTTAAACAATGGCATGTTTTAATTTTTTCATGACACAAACAACAACGTTTCTACAACCATTTGTTTTTTTAATAACCTACAGTTTGTTAAGGGTATATATAATTTTAAGGAATGCCAAGCTTTAGATGTATGTTACCTGCCATATAACTTGTTTTAAATTTATGTGTAAGCAGAAGTCCAAGGGGGTCTGGGGGCATACCCTCCAAGCAACTTTTTCTAAGACACATTTTCCATATATTGTTGCACTTACTAATTTTCTGCTAAATACAAACAGGATTCATTGTACTCTTGGCAGCTACAGATAACGGATGTACTGACTGGCCTGGCTCTTACTGGTGGCAAAGGGTAATCACTTTTAATTCCAGCATGTTAAGAAGTAAGTTACCCCTGGAGGCATTTTTTGTGTCATGTAACATCTCTTCACTACAACTTTTGATTGTTTTATTCAGGGCATTCATCAGAGCCAGCACTAAGCAATTAATTTGGTAAAACTACAGACCATGAAAAAGTTTGAACCAATGATTTAGACACAATGTAAAATGGCTGTTATGGAAGCATAATAAAAGACATAATATATTACTGACATAATGTCACATATTTTATTGAATTATATTTTACACACCAGCATCACTGTATTTAATTTCTGCACAAATAATTGTGTTGTGTATAATATTAGTTATTAACATATTGTCAATACTATAACAGTATTGTTTTAAGTGAAGAAATTATAACTGTGTTGCAATCAGTGTTAAGTCAATGATTTAACTATTCAGCTTATGTATATTCAATATCTTAATATAGTTTATAATCCTGCAGTGACATTTGTAAAAGAAAATAAATCATATGATACCACATCTTTCGCACATTTTCTCTCAACAATGGTAATCCAGGTCCATATAAATAGTGTCTCCTCTTTAATAATTTCAGAAGAGAATCCCATCTACATGGTGTTTTCATTTTGAGCATTAGACCTGTAAATGCAAAATTTGTATCATGTATTTTAATGTTTGTTTTTCTTTAGATCTACAAGGTTAGTTCATTTTATAAATTCTTTAATGGAAATAATTACTTTCAGATCAACAGTAAACTCTTGTATCACTGTGAAACGCTCATTAGCCCTGTACCTCATTACACACTGCGATATTGTGCTATATTGTGAATGGGCAATACCTCCCCAGAATTTAATCTAATCTCACAGTAATGTGACACCCACCCATAACTAAAAATATCTCAGAATCTAGATTTGGTATGTCAAAATATTTTGACTACCCATTACATGTTTAATTTTGTAAATAGTTTAATCAAAATAATTCATTTACATATTAGACTAGAGGAGCTGTGAATTCTAGTAAACAGGTGAAAATCAGAGAATAGCAAATTTCACTCAGTGCCTGTAAACAGGTAAAGTTATGCATTTTGTAGACTTCTGCAGGTTTATGCACACATTTACAGAATGTTGTTAAACAGATTTTAAAGTGTAAAACAGTATAAGTTTAAACTATTACAATTATACTTTACAATATAATTTTGTCATAGGGTGCGAAAAATGTGCAGCCACAATTACAATTTACTGTACTGTTCCTGTATACTGGTTGGGGAGATAACTTCGGCTGGTTGATAAACTCGGCTTTTTAAAATTAAATCGAGTTATCGGAATTTTTAATCTAATCAAGTTCACCATCTCATACTATCGCTGGAATTCGACACATATCTGGAAATTTTGTCAAGTTTGGTAAGATTTTTAAAAAATAACACAGACTTTTACCTGTTTGTTTACAAAACATGCCTATAAAAAGTACGGGAATCCCATTGTTGTGCGCATGTGCAGCAGATGCTCATTTTGAGGCCCGCACAGGGGTACTTTTATATATTGACCGACTACCGGTAAAGCAGACGACGTTTACGTATACATTTTGTAGATGAAAATCAGACTCACTTTTGTCTTGCTAACTCAGAAAAAAGGCTGATTACACAATTGTAATCTTTTAGTGGAATGTATTGAAAGACTGATGTTAAATGCTCCTTTTATATGTTAATGTGTAGGTTGAATAGCACTAAATTAATTTCTTAAGCTAAGCAAAAATAAATATGAATTACAAATTCTTTAACTACATATTTCGTTATACGTTAATAAATGATAATGCATGTGTTTTTACGTAAAATGATTTATATGTTACATAGTACGTTGCATATAAATATCGTGTTATCACAGTTATTCATTATACTACATAATGCTCAACAATTTTGGTAACAAATATTTTTTATTTGACATAAATGAACAGCAAAGAAATAATAAAATGTCTAAACATGTCATTTTACGTTTTAACTTACTCATTTAAGAAGAAAAACAAAGAGCCGGAATTATCTACTCGCGCGCGTAAAAAATATTCTTTTTACGTACCTCTTCCAGGGCCTCTCAAAATTACCCGTTATGTTTCTAAATATAACTTTGATGGTGATACCGGAAAATCGAAGAGCTGAAGTTTATTATGGTGCAAGATTCATCAGAATACGTAAACAAATAAATGAAATATGCCCCCAAAACACTGATTTTCGGCCGAGTTTATCTCCCAAACCAGTACCATGTATAATTATGGCTGTTAGTTAAAACGATAAAGTGATAAGTAAATTCAAAGCATAACGTGTAAAACAACACTGACAAACTATATAACTTACACATGCAGTAAAACTATATCAAACTAATAGAGTTTCATGCTTTATTATGGGGGCTGCCATTTAACAGACTGGTAATGTAAACAAGTTACTCTATATCACCCAAACGTATATTATCATAAACATATTCATGCTTTTCTCTAACAAGGAAGGGCTACACATAAAAATGTCCAGTCTAATGGACTGTTACATTTTAATCATGGGGATTAACAATTATCTTCCAATGCTACGTATTTTCCATGATTTTTCGTAGTGTTATCAGCGTCTTAAATTTAGATTTAAAAACTTGGAATTATGTACATTGACGCGCTCTCACTTAATTTTCAGAGAAGCGCCTTTCATTGTCTGCGTGTAAATCAACAATGGTATCTTCCATATTTTCCGCGAGAATCATGAAAAGTGGGCGGAGAATACAGGTGCGACATAGGTGTCATTTGTATCAGTGTACCATTAATTAATCGATTATTATCACATATTGTTACTACATAGATGAGTAGCATAAGATAAAACGATGTGTATTAGCGGACAATATGTCATATTTCCCGTTTGAGATAATAGTTTGATATGTTTACAAGGTGGCTGTTTGACTTAGACTTTTTATCGTCTGCAAGAAAACCAATACATTGACAGGTGTGTCATGTTTTTCTGTAAAACAGGGAAAATTGATATATGAATTAGGAAGGAGAAACAGTGTCATTCATGTGCAAAAGGTCATTAATGAGAAATTATAATATATAGATCTAGTATATATTTATAAACCATTATATACTAACAAAAGTGTGTTTTTTTCCTACCTTGAAATGGAGGATTCTAGCTCTTCAAGTTCTTATAGTTTCAGTGATAATTCAGTGGACATGGAAAATAGTACTTTGTGCATGTGCACTAAAATCACATACAACCAGAGTCCGCCAAGCTTACCAGCGGACACTCAAGACTTTACACCTGAACACAGGACCTGTCATCGACCTCTAGATAGGTCACACTCGGATCCGGCCATAAGAATCTCCGAGAGAGAAGAGCAAGAGAGTACAGGACTTGAACCTAATTGTGATCTCTTTGGAATTCAACTTGAGGTATATAATAAATAAATATAATTGACTTTTTTATTTTATCATTTTACTGAGACTGGTCCCTTTAGCTAATTGCTTATTTGGTTAAATGCTATAAGCTTGATGGATTAGAACATATTTATTATATAAAATAAAATTTAGAACATATATTCTTGATCAGAATAATTTTCATTAGAAGCCAGTGGCTTGAAAGTCATTTTTAGAAAGCTTGAGTTTAATTTTCTAAAAATAACTTGTATATTATGTAATATTTAATATTTTGTTGAATTGATTTCATTTATATAGTACAGTTATTTATCATAAATATTATTATCTAAATATATTGATTCAAACAAAATTAAATTATTTTATCAATGGTCTTTTATATTTGTATCATATAGTATTTCTGAATTTTATGTTGCCTTTCTTGTTTTACTTTATTTTATTTTAACTGAACTCCTAAACATCTTTTTTTTTTAAAGTAAAGAGAAGTTAAATGCACAGTTTGAACATTTGAAAACTACTATACCTGGTATACTAAATTACCAGCTACTTGGGATAAATTATACCCCTTATTCTGACAGTTCAGAAAATATCTGTGATGTGTCATCACCATATTGAATGAAATTTTTGTGCCTGTTAGGCAGTGGACCACTCCTAATTCACACTGAACAGCTGAAATAACTGCAAACTTTTTATGAACATGCAGTCATACAAGTTCAGTAATTTGGAGGAATTTCGAAGTATGCCTATTCAAACTAGTAAGGTTGTTTTGTTTTCTTCAGTTGGACTCTTTGAACTGTCATCAAACAAATAAGATTATAATTAGTAAAATGTAGATCACTTTGAATAAAAATGTAGTGGACTCAGGTCACAGTGAATGTATAAAGGACTGAAAATAGGATTCGCCAGACAATTATTAAACAAGTTTTTGCCTTAAGGACACGGTTGCCAGTAAATGAAGCTGTATTTAATATTATTAAATGAATATGAACACTGTGAGTTCAAAGCTTAATACTCTGAAAGCAGCAGTAGCATCACTTTCATCGATATTTTCTAATCATTAAAAATTGATTCTTGAAACAACCTGTTAAAAGTACATAGTATGATATACTGATAATTAAATATGAATAACAACATGATAAACTTTCACGATAAGTAATATAAAATATGCATGCTTTTTAAATGTTTATCATTTAATCATTGGTGCATTTCTATATGTACATGAATATAATATTGACAAATACAGTCTTGTTTACCAGCATGATATTTATTGATACACAGGTAATTCATCATTCATATATATATATATATATGGGACAATAAAGAACAAGGGAGTAGCTCATATAGAATACAGGTTAAAGGTCAGATAATGTGTTCAATGATAGATCTATCAAACATATTTATGAATGATAATCATAGAGAACAAAGTATGAATTGAGGTTTCAGTGAATTATATACAAAAATAATTCAAAAAATGATTTTATGATTCATATCAGAAATGTTCCCATAGAAACTTATAATTATGTAAGTTCTTTCTGATGTATCAAAAGGAAATTATTAAAATACATGATTCCTCAATTATTTTTGTTGCCATTATGACTAAATTAAATGTAACATTTCAATTCACAAATTCAAGGACAATAATCCTACTCAAGCAGGCATCAGCATTTATATCCACATCAACATTAAGTTTTTTGTACCATCTCACTTGTTCCAATACACCTATATATACGTTTTGCTTAATTTTGAAATACACAATATCCAATTATGACACCATGCATCCACTTGCTTGTAGGCAGGAGTGTATAATTCTGACATTTTTAATAAACTTATTATTCTACTTGCTTGTAGTATTAATTAAGATATCGAAATGTCACTAATTTTTTTAGGGACATATATACATGTAAACGCCATGAATTATAAAAACATTATTTAATAAAATAAAATTGATCTTTGATCTTAACCATCTTATACAATACATCTAATTCCCTGATGAAGGCTATTGAATAGCCGAAACGTAGGTCTTTAATAAAATAAATTACAGAAACCTGACCCACTCAGTTTCGTGTGCTTCACTTCCCATATTCTTTTTAATAATGCATTTAATTATAATTTCTAATGTAATATATTATATTCAGTTGATATTGTTGAGACTCTTACTATCTATATTATATGAATGGGCCATATCATTCTTACAACACAGTCATATTACATAATGTCCCTTTATATTGTAACAGTTAACTGTACATCAAATATTATAATTTATGAGTACTAATAACAAATGTTTAACAACATAGTTGGAATATATTGCCTTTTTATGAGGACTGACTAATGAAGATAATATGATAGTTGTTTCGATTATTAAGCATTAAAACATAATCATTTTGGTTGTCACATAAAAGACGTACAAGTTATTGCATTGTCTTCAGCTGTCAAACTGTGTAGAGATTTATCATAACAGTAATAATTTCATCTTTCATACATAATGTAACTATAGCTTACAGGTATCTGTGGTCTCTTTACATGAATCATGACATGTTCTATTTTCATAAATTGTGTTAGCGGAACGTCAAACTTCTAAATATTTTCATATAGCTGTATTCCACAAAACTAGTAATTCATAATGTCATTTAAATAGCTATTTATATAATGATTTTGTTACATTATTTAAGATCTAACTTTCCTGGCATGCATTTACATGTAGATAGTTTAAAAACAATAATTTACAAATGTTTCATTTACATGAACATATTTTATTCAAGAACAGACCTCTTACTCAATAACTGTTACAATGCTTGATATAATTATTATATTTCTTGGTATAATAATAATGATGTTAAATTTTATTGGGCATGTCATTTTGCCCATACTGGCCATAGTGTTATAGAACTTTAATACAAGTGATACTGATATGATATAATTATAATTATGCTTAATGTTCAGGAACATAATTATTATATTACATGTACATCGTTTCAGTCTGAAATAATTCATTGTGGGGCACCTGTCAGGTCTTCCTCCACCAGTACAGCTGGAACGTCACCATATGATCTATATTGTGATGGTGTGACAAAAAAACCAATCAAACAAACAAACAATGTTTCAGCCAGCCAAGCCCTAGTATAACTATTTCATTGAAATGTCCATAAAAATCAAAACTCACAAGTTTTCATACTTATTTGGCAATAAAAAGTGGTTCATACTGATTCTTATATTGCTTTACCCATGAAAATTACTCTTTATTAACACAGCATTTATATTTTTCTCATAAATACAAAACTACAGTTTTTATTCATTCAAGGGTGACATTGCCAAGACATGAATAATTTAGCATTCAAGAGATGTTTCAGATCTGTGATAATCTTAATCATTAATCACCACGTATTGATCATTAAAAGTTAAACTTTTGCATAATTTTTTTTATGTACCTGAGTTTTGCATCTTGTGATAGAAACCAACTGGAGATTCAGATTCAGCCCATACTAAAAGTCTTAAATGTACTTGTCAAATTTTCAGTGTGGAAAACCATTAACCATTTTTAGGGAAAGTGTAAAAACAAGTGCTTAATGAATTGCAAACAGCGCAGCCAGCTCACTGGCTCTGCACTGGTCACATGGGTATAAAGCAGGGCTGGGCTTTTTTCACTATAAATACCAGCTTCATAACTAAAAGAAATGCTTGTTTCACATAGTTTCACAATAAGAATGTTTTTGACTGCTGACACAAAAAAGTGTTACAACATATTTAGCAGTGTCACCTTTAAATACCGTGACATTGTCCATGTTATTTTCAACTTCAGGAAATCAGAGCTATTTAAACATCTCGTGTTGATATTATAATAATAGATTTCTAATAATTGAAGTATATATCAAATAAAGAAAAAATGTTGGTTGTAAATTTTTCTCAAATTGGGACTTTCACAATGTAAAGGAAAATAATGCTTTAACTTCACAATTTGAAGGAAAATTGCACTTTAACAAAACAAAAAGGCTAGGAACCCTTCGCAATTTAAGGAAAACTAGCTTGATATGCAGGCTAAGGGCTAAAGACATTATACAGGACTCGCCATTGCCCAATCACAACATTATCAAGAATATAGCTTAAGAGAAAAGCAAAATCTGTCTACAGTATTGAAAACAAAAATGTTTGATATAATGGATAGGATTGAGAAATTGGGTATCATTTAGTATTATAATCGTCATAGTAAATCATAAGAAACACTTCTTGTTCCTCTAATTGCTATACCTTGTAACCCTCTATCCTTGATTTATTACACCTGACAGGATGACAACCTGGCTAATTATGTCCATTAAAATTGCATATGTATTGTCAGATTTTACAACTAGGAGAGATATACTGCATGGTAATTATCTACTGATTTTGGTAGAAGACAAATGTCAGTTAGTCATGGTTTCAGTAAGCACAAAATTATGATCCATTTTTGTGTGTTACTAAACCATTAGAAACCATATGTTATAAATTTTGGCTAATATTTAAATCACACAGATGCTGTTCAGAGCTGTGTTTCATAGAAAGACCTAAGTGTATCCTAAGTCTTAGGACTTAAAACCAACTACATGTATAGGACTAAGTAACAGACCATTTCAATAAACGTCCTTACCTTCAGTCATTTTTTGTACACTATAAATAAATAAATTTTCCTGAGAAAAGTTTAGAAATACAATGAGAGATCCTTTTATTAGCAATGTGTTAATGCCCATCAGCATTGTTATTCAGAAATTAAAAAAAGCCATAACATAGGAGTCATTAGTTAGGACAATTTCTTTGAAATGCAGTTTTGGTCTTCAGCTAGGACTAATACTATGAAACGCAGCCCAGATCTTAAGATGACTTCCTCCTATATTAACCTTGCTGATACCAGGCTGGTATCTTTCAAAGCATTATTATTAGGTAGAAGTGTGTACCTGGGAAGAATTATCATCAGTGCTCAGATTATTTTAATATGTAACACTGGCAGGTGGTAATGTATTTACACAATTATCAGTATTTAAAAAAATCATTGCATTTATACTTTAAAAAATCTAATCTCCTTCACTTTGAATTAGAATATAGATACCAGAATGATTATATTTAATGTTTCAGGTGACATACCATCTGCTAGAAGCTGAGAAACGCAAGTTATATGTTTTGCAGAGAGAACTTGGCCACATCCTTAATATAAAGGTAATGTATAAACAGTGTAAATCCTTCAGTCTTTTTCCAGTTTTGCCATTTGATATTGTTACATGATATTGTCATTAATTACAAATATTGAACAATATAATGAGGCTATGTATAAATATCCAGAAATGATAATTAGGAAGGCTGTGTTTTAATTGGTTTTATCCAAGAATAGTTTTTGGTTGGATTTTAAGTTCCACAATGTTAAGTCGAATTTTCAGCTTTTACTTGTAAGAAAAGACCTGAAGTGCTTTGTTCTGCATCAGGGTGAACAGCTGTATGAATCCTAAGAACCACCAACCATGAGCAATCAAGCAAGCTTATAAACTTCTTTATATAAAAGAATTCAATGTCCTTGGCTGGATTTGAACCTGCTGTGGTGATGGAGTATTAGTTGTATCTAAACACTTTGCCACAGAAAACCATAGAATGTAGACTACACTCTTGACTTCAATCACAGACTTTAATTGACAGTCCTTGCTTCAATGTACAATTTGTCAAAACTGTCAGATTTTTTGTTTGTTAAATAGCATTAAACACTTAAATGTCATGTGCTCAAGCACAAACATGGTGTTATATTTAATGTCAAATCTCAAATACACCAAAAGGTACAATCTATCTTGCTGTTGTTTTATGTAACTTTCCAGTACATGAAACTTTGTTGTATTTACCTTCTTATCTTACAACTTTGTTCAGCTGTTGCTTCATTTAATTAAAAATCAATGTAGTCTGTTTATATAGGCAGAAAAGACATAAATTCATGTCACATTATTAAGAGATTGTTCTATTTTAGAATTTTCAAAGTCATAGAACAGCTATAGTGTGTGTTAATTGCTTTTTTACCTGTTTTTGCATTGCCTTGGATACTGTCATGTTTGCCATCATTATTTGGTTGTGCAAAATTTAAGAGAGAGAAATAGAATGCCTAAAGAATGTTTAAAATGGCAAAATTGAAAATGTTGATGGACAGTACTGGAGAGTGCATGCTACTGTCAAAACTTTTGGTTATTTGTATATAATTTGATTTGAAGACACTTTTCAATAATAACACATGACATATCCATAAGGACTTGTACCTGTATGACAAAAAGTTTAAAAGAACTATAAAGATTTTCAAGTTTGGCTGATAATTTCTGCTGTAAATAATACTGTTCTATAATTTGATTTTTTTAATATTATTGTATCTTTCCAGAAAAATGTACAAGAGGAGACACTGAAGAGAAATGTTGAGTATGTATGATATATTATGTACAGTTACTTGGTGACAAAATTATATTACCGAATGAAAATTAGACATACATTAGATATTACTTACTTGGTGACAAAATTATATTACCAAATGAAAATTAGAAACGCATACATGTATAAACTGAATTGAAACTTATACAGCATCTTAGAAGTATGAAGGTTTAGTATTTTTAAATAAGTAACTAGTAAATTGGAAATTATTATAACTATTATTTTGATTTTCATCATCGCTATTTATCATGTTTTAAGATATTGAGCTGATGTTCATGAAATTTGTCATAAAATTTTTTTTATCACAGGCATATGGTTTTCATCGTGATTTTTATACTTCTGTTTTATAGAAACAAGATATTATAATTTAAGCATTTTATAGCTGACCGTTTTGATAATAAAATCGAACTAGTGAATATTATAATTGGGTCTTCTCATGACTTTTAAGTATGCAATGTTCATAGGTTAAACTTATTCTCTTCATTGTGTTTGAATAAGGAAAAAAACTTGTTCAGTTAATCCCTTATCAATAATTGTACAGGGATACAAGATTTCTTTTTGTTGGGTTGATTAAGTCTATATAATGTTAAAATTTTACTTTCATTATGATGAATGAAATGTGTTTAAACCAATTTTACAGAAAATCTCACAATAGATTTTATTGTTCCTTTTTCAGTAATTTTTATCTAATTATTTTAAAACTTTGGTACAATGTTAATGAGATTGGAATTTCTTTTAACTTTCATAGGTTAATTGCATGGTGTTTCAATGCAGTGCAATTTGATATTGGGTAATTATTATACAATACTTCAAAGATAGTAAAGAATAGTTAATACTACAATTTAACATGGGAATTTTTTAAATACTTCAGGTAGTAAATAAACTATATGGTATCAAGTTAAAACTTACAATGTAACTGAAAGTATAAACAAACTAAAAAATTGAAAATTTTCAAATGCTACAAATTTTATTTCACTTCAAAGTAGGCCAAATCTTTTAAATTAACTTCATTAATTTAACATGCAGTGGCCCTCGGGTCTTAAACCTTTACTGATTCAAGGTTTAACTAAGCTTTCAATGTCAAATTGCTCTGTATTGTCCATCTCTCTTTCAACTTTCAATGAAAATTAGTGGCAATAACAAAATCAAATTTTATCAAGCCCTGGACTTAAAGGTCACTTATTCATGATCATTTATACATTAAGATGAAATGTATGAATTTGACATCAGGTGAAAGACCCAGGTCAGAAGTTGGATTTAAGTATTTTAAAATTAATATGGTATGGGCTTGAAATTTAAAATTTATGTAAATGACACAGGAACAAAAAGACAGGAAGAAATTTTATGCTTTAAGTCAGGATTTCAAGGTTGAAACTAAGGTCAAATAAGTTTGCATTTTTTATATAAATTTTAATTTTTGAATATGCTAGCAGTATGTAATGAGTTAGCAGGAAAGTTATTTGAATTTTAACTGTAAGAATTATTTATTTAAATCTTAGGGCAATCGGTACACTTTATACATATGTTGAATATATGTATGTTGAACTATGAAAAATACATGTATAAGGTATTGAACTGGTCACTAATAAGGGGAGAAAGTGTGTAAACGGCCATATAGCTCAGTTGGTAGAGCCGTGGTATGGTATTCCGAGGGTCATGGGTTCAAGTCCCAGCCAGACTGCACATTTTTCTCACCCTGTGACTTATATTCCTAATTATATATTTGGTGGTCATAAGTCAGTCTTCTTAAAAGTTTGTCAACTGTAGACCCATGTGGTCCTGAGCAGTATAGTGATTATTTTAAAATATCAGATATGTTTATGAATTAATGTGAATGTCACTTGTGACCATGACCTTATACCTGCTGACTCTTGAGATAACTAGGGGCCATGTAGTGAATATTTAGTAATCTGCTAGATTTTAAACCTTTGATGTTTATCATCCGACTACTTTGTCAGTAAGTTCAAACAAGGAAAACAAACAATTTTTTTCCCCTCTCCCTGAATATTTCATAATCACCATTTACATCTATCCAATATCATTATACAACTGATAGTTATGTCTCTCCTGTATAATATTATCTTGTTCAAACATCATTATTCATAATTTTTGCATAAACATAAATTATGATATCATAATTTCTGCCATGTTTTGGTGAGGATAATGATAAACAAAACAAAGGGAAACAACTTCTGTTATGCTAAATTTATGTTTGTAAGATTTATCTCCCTTGTATTGCATTTTCAACTTTTTCATTGCAAATAATTCATATATATGTGTATGTCATTGGCATAATTTATTTGGTTTTATTTTATATTAATTCAAAAAAGAAACAAAAACATAAAAACACAACATTTTTTATTGTACAATTAAGAGAGAGACATTGCCTGGTGACCTGTAAATGACTTATATTCTATAAAAAGATGTTTGTTATTTCAGACACATTCAGTTACAGTATGACCACCTTGAGGAAGAGTACAGATGTGCAGTCGCTGGAGCCCTCCGCAGGAAAGCTAAGAGTAAACCTGTAAGTAAAAGTACATTGTAATAACCGATATTCATACCTTAAGTGAGACGGTATGTAAACTAATTTTGTCTGTTGAAATTGAAATACTGTAGGTATATAAGGCTTTATTTTGATATTTTCTTAAAGATATCATAACAATTAAGTACCTTAAATGAAAACAAAATATTGAAAAATTTAATTAAGCTAAACTTGCACATACTCAGAATAATTGCTAAATCTATTTATAATAACAGTTGTTGTTCATGCCTTAGTCTGCACTATTTGCTATTCTGTCAGTATTTAAAATGAAATTTTCTGTAAAAGTGATGTAAAAGTGATGAATGGTTTTGTCCAGAATAAAAGGTGGAGAAATTCATTTAAGAAACATGTTTTTAGTGTAGTAAGGGTTAATTAATGGCTATTTACATTTTCAATAAAGACCAAGTAATTAAACACACATGTTTTTATAATAAACAGAAGGTTGTATGGTTGTGATGTTGATTAGATATTGTCCAGTCAAAATAATTAGTTTAGAACTGGAGTAAAAATATGTTTGCACAGAAAATGTTTAGTGATTTTTGTAAACATGTGATGAAAGAATTTGAAAGAAATAAAAAAATTCTTATCCACTCAATCAATTGACTTTTATTACCTTTTTTTTACAAAAAGATGTATATGTTATAAGAGGGCATTTGCTGCTTGCATTGCGATCAATTTGTGTAACAATGTCACAATGAGTTATTGATTCTGTTGTCTAGTAATCTCACAATCATAACTTGGTCATCCAGTTAGGTTTCGAAATCTTCAGCAAACAAAAGTGCTTTGTATCTTGTATCTCCTTGCACAGACTCTCTATCTTCCTCCCTTTTCAACACTTGTATGTGTTGGAATCAATTATTTCGCATAATTTGCCTTCTTTCATAGGTAATTATCATTCTCCAAGTGTAATGGGACACTTCTGTACTTCCATGGCAGGTTACTGTAATTGAAAAACAATGTCAACAATAACGGTTATGTTCAATTGTTTGTACATTACACTTGTCAAACACTGATCAAAGGCAGTTCATAATTACTGATAATTATTATGACAGATGGCCTAACCTAAGATGAACTTTTCCCTCATACTTACATTTAACTGTTTCTTTCTTTTTTTATGAGCACTACAGATAAGCTACTGTGGTAATTCTCTGTCCATGCATCCAAGTCATTTGATGTTAGTGCCATGAAAATGTCAGAGAAGCAAATGGAGTGTAACCGTTGCTTGTAGTTCTGTCAGTACCATGTCATGTCCAATTTTTTTTGAGCATGAAGAAAATATGAAATAACTTTGGCAGAAATAATGACAATTTTACAAAGCTATTTTTCATAAGTAAAAATTGTATGCTGTAACACCTTGGAAAAAAGTTCAGATTTGAAAATTTGACAAAAAGTGGACCCTTGCTTCAGAGTTGCTTCAAATATATCTCAAAACCGTGTTAAATTGACAGTCAACTGTAGGTCAGGACACGCAATTTAGATAATTAACTTCTTATTATAAATATTGAATGAAAAACAGGAATAGCACAAATTATTTTTAAATAATTAATCCAACTTTGGTTTATCTTCCATATGCAATAACACAAGAGGTCAATATTGTATAAACATATTATTAAATGTCTTAGAAATCATGATTTTTCATTTTAAAATATTACATTATAAAAGTATCTAATTGTACAAAATCTTTAGCTGTATGAACAATTAAAGAATGGGCCCTCAGTGATTTTAAAGGCAAATTTGGAGCCAAAATTGCCACCTTCCCCAAAATGTGAAAAAAATTACTGGCTCTAAATTTATATCATAGTGTATACATTTATTATCATTATGAGGTTTCAATGCATTGAGTATTATTAGGAATGTGGTCAGCATTTAAAGAACAGGCTTCAAAGCAGCACACTTCCAGATTCATGATAATTTTCATATAAAATTTGGAAATGTATTTAAAAGTAAAATAATGTGAGGTGAACACATATAGTAATAAAAATTTTTACATATTGCAATTGGCACTTAAATCCACGAAAATTACCAAAAATAGGTCAACATGTGCAAAAACAACCCTTACTGCGTAAGTAACCCAGTAGAAATATGATGATAAAATACTGCAAAATCAGTGTTAATTAAACCGCAAAAAAAAACATGTAAAATATAACTTGGATCATGGATGTTTTTACCTTTCTTAAAAGTTTAGTGCATTTTTCTCAATATAGATTTTCTAGAAATATTTTGCTCATCAGTGGAGGCATGCAGCTTTAAATTTAGTATTTCAGTTAAAAGTTAACAAAATTTCAACAAGCACAACAGACAAAATGTATATTATAATATTTTTTGTTCTGAAAAATAAATTTGGCAATAATTTTTCAATATTAAAATTCAAATCAAATTGCATGTAGTTCTTTACAATAACATTTCAGATTGTAGTCCTTATTAATCTTGTGATAATTCATTGTGTAAACTTGTTCTTGTGTTTGATTGTTTCTAGTGTACACATAATTATAGTATCTTTATAGATCCTTGATAAAGACAGATTGAAGTATTTAACTTAAGATGAGCAATCAGGTGATCCCCTGTTGTAGCACTGTTTGACTGTAAAAACCTTCCATTGATCATAGATTGTGATCTCTTTAATTTGCTGATGAATATCAAATTGTTTGAAGGTTTTTAACTTCGGTAAATAAATTTGAACAGTAAGAGGCCTGTACTCTATCAGACCAATATCTTTAAAAAAAGTTTTATTTTGATGTAATGTATTTAAAATCTGTGATTTTTTTGAGATCAAGTATGTTTTTAAGGTATAATGCTGTATTCCTCATTTATTTACTTGAAACCTTTGAACGTTAGTGGAGGCTTAGGCCTTCACTGTACAGCGCCACCTGGCCAGCCTGCATGTATTTTATGCCTGACATGAATCTGTCTTACTGAAAAAACTATTCTGTTTTAATTGACCACTCAATATCAATATTGTTTACACTGAACTTCTTAATGAACAGTTTCAAAATTAAATCAAGGCAATTTCAATTTAATAAGATCAACAGGTTGTGGATTAAATTAAGAATATAAAGTATAAAATGATGTTTAACTATCACAATGCACGCAAACTCTATTGAATGTCCAAAGTTTTATGGTCATGTTTCAGTGATGCTTTAAAAAATTTTCTTTATGCAACATGATTATGTTTTATCACACTTACAATTACTATTACAATTTTATATTTAATGTCAAACAAGTCCATAAGAAAAGCTTTGAAACGCATTATCTTGTTTAAACGTGAAATGTTTATTTAGTAAAATAAATAAGAACACAATTGACACAAGGATAAGTTCAATATTTACATTCCCTTCAAAGATTTCCAATTTGATCACCCAAATTGACTTCAGACTTTCACAAACAACTGCTCTGTGAGGGTTTTTGTGAGGAAGAAAACTAGAGAAAAATCATGGATATTCAATATTTGAGTTAAAAAGTTGAAGGTCATTGACTAACAATACCTGTAGTGATGAGAAATAACAGGTATTTGACTTGATGATTAAGAGCTGTGCAGTTTATGGGCCGGTAGCTACTTTTAAAATGTGTTCTCCCTGTAATTAAACTGAGTGTAATTTTGTAAAGATTAGATTTTAATGGATAGATGAGAATTTTTCTTTAAAAAGATATTTGAAACATAACTGGATTTTAGTTGATTTAAGTCAGTGATAAAAACTGTTGATGGACAAGCGTGGGATATTCTCTTAAACTTGCCACTGTCAACTTTGAGTAGCGTTATTTTGATTTTCAATTATACTTCTGGATTGAAAATCGTTTTAAGTAAAGAATGGCTTGAGATAAAGCATGTTGTGAATTTGAGTTTATTTAAATTTCAAGTGATTTTGATAGAGTATTCAAAAAGTGTTGATAAAATATAAACATTGTGACAGATTCGCTGTTATCTATATCAGTTCCATAGTGATAGTAAATATACTGTTGAAATTCAAAGATAAAGGTATCTCTTTTTATCAAAATAGCCGAGCATTTCAACTGACAACTAAATTATACAATTCAGCTCATGTGAAAATTGAAAACTGGAATTTTAGGATGAATGAATACAACTGTGGAATGTTTGATAGCAAGTTTGTTTTGTCAAAGTGGATTAAAGGAAAACATTTGAACGCATCGTGAGATAACCTATTAAATACAAAACACAAAACAAGTATCAAGCTTAATGAAAAGAAAATTTAATTTCCAGAGAGTGAATTTTGCATTGTGCAATTAATTTAATTGTTTTTGTCAATGTACCTGATTTGCATTTGAAATGGAGGGAAACGTTAATTGAGGCAGAACTTATTGATTCTTGGTATCACTTTCATTTAAACTAATAACATGTTACATTCATGTGTTTTATTGATTTTTATGATTTTACCTGCCTGTTGAACAAAGTACATCAGATCAGACTGCATGTATAGTAGAACTGGTTGCACGTGCATTATATGGGAACATTTGGTTCCATAATGCATTGATTTCTTTTATATGAAAGTGAAATATTGCTCTCTCTCTCTCTCTCTCTTATATTGTTGCATTAATGATTCATGTAAAATTATGACTGGCCAATGTTTTGCTGGATTTTATCATAATATGAAAATGTTGACTTAAGGAAACTTTTATGTGGATACAAGGAAACTTTTATGTTGAAACTTTGTGTTTTGTATGTTATTTTTATGGATTTACCTGGAGTAGTCGGAATTGAAAGGGTGAAACATTTTCTTATACAGGTAAGGGGGAGGATGTGGTCTGATGTTAATGAACATCATGGCCGTAAAGTCCTTATATACATTCACTAATATTTTAATTTGTACTGCAGTAATTGCTAACTGAATTTCCATGTTAGCCGATTAATTTAACCAGTAAGATCCTTAATTTATCTAAACAACATGCCCTGTTTTGAATTAGGAACCATATCAGTTTGTTTTCATAGAAATTTCAGTAGAAAATACTTAAGTTGTCATCATTACACAGAGCCTGATCAGACTGTATGGATATACAGACTGGCCCAACACTTTACACGTGATAAAGGCAAACCACTTTTTGTTTCCAGCAGGTTATTTTAGGGTTAAGCTTGCTAAATTTTTGCTGTTAAAATTATCTTTTTAAATGTTATGAAACAGTTGTCAAATCTGATAATCCAGTAGCAAATAGCTAGGTGTGGCAGAACACTATAGCAGCATATTTAAAGTATATTTAATCATATATAATTGCAATGTTTGTTTTCATTTTATGGCATTATCACTTAATAACATACATTAACCTTTAACTAAATTTTTTTATGTGCATGGCACACAGGTGTTCTATTCCTATCAGACGGGAATTGACACAATTACAACACTTTTCATCCATTGTGTCATAAAGTAAAGTCTTGATCAAATCAGTGGAAATAATAGAAGCTCTTATAATAAATTAACTTATATCTTATACATATTTGACCTATTATCCTACTGACACTTATAATAGTATTATTTGTCAAAATGTTAGTTTTAATGGTGATCTTGAATGAGACTAACAGGGAGTAAGTTATAGTTGACATTTTAGGTCTCTTGATTGGATCAAAAAAAGCATTGTCAATTTCTCAAGAGGTCACAAATTAAGCCTTATCTTCATGATCAACTTTATGTACAAATCATGTATTATATCAGCTAGGATAAAAATTAAATGTTGATACTATAAAGGGTGTTGGTGATTTTGTACAAGGCTGTGATCAATCAAGCAATATTTCTTTTGGAGAAATACTCAAAATCTTGCCTTCAGCTACTTATGTTACTCTTTTACTAAAATAAGCTATATTTCTGTTTATGTTATCAGAGATGATTCTAAAAGAGACATAAAGAGTGTTTGGTAGTCAGTTCTTGCAGTACTCATACCTACCATCTAAAATGATCACATTATACAGAAATAATACTGTCTAGATTTTATTCTGTTTTCAAGAAGTTTTAAATGGCACTCATCAGTATGAATTGTGTATTTTTAGGCTCCAAGAAGTCAACCAGCAATTGGACTTAAGCAGACACCAAAGACTAGAGTAAGTACCATTATGACCAGTACTATATACTACGATGAATCAAGCTCATTGTATAATTGGTACAAATTTCCTTAAAAGTACATGTAGCTTCTTTTCCTGCAACTTTGCATTTAAATCGGTTCGGTGGTGGTTTTTGTAGTTTACCTTCCAGATCTCTGTGGTTAGCTACTTTGAATTTACCATAGGACACACAGTTCAGCCACCATATCTTTCCTGGACAAGCTGTCAAGTCGTTTACCAATACTAGATGTGTTCACTTTCACAAGGAGCTGTAAGTTACTTCTGTACATGCCCGGCCAGAGCAGAGGCTCCGTGTAGATGACATTGGAAAAGATTTGAGCCGCATCATGACAAAACCAACATAATTGGTTTGCGACCAGCATGGATCCAGACCAGCCTGCGCATCCGCGCAGTCTGATCAGGATCCATGCTGTTCGCTATCAGTTTCTCTTCTTGTAATAGGGTTTGTAAGCGAACAGCATGGATCCTGATCAGTCTGCGCGGATGCGCAGGCTGGTCTGGATCCATGCTGGTCGCAAACCCATTATGTTGGTTTTGTTGTGACATGGCTCATTTCATGATCAAGCCCATTTCACAGTTCATTGCTGTACCGATTGAGCTAACCAGGCAGTCTTTTTTAAGGGTTACATACCCTAATGGGCAACAATAAGAATCAGCTTTTCATTACTTTTATTCTTTACTAGATAGTATTATATATTATGTTATAGATATTAGAAAATTTCACTTTCATATTTTGTTTTCAATTAGTATGCAGGGATTAAATACCTCCCTGACCGATTCTTCAACTACAGTATCTGATTTAGCTCAATCACTGATTCTTTTATATTTTGCTTGATAGAACAAAATAATTCTTCATTGTAAGGTTTCTCCATTTTATCAATAAGAAATGAACATTTTTTTTGACACTGTCCATTCATTGCGCCCGTTGAGAATTGATGACACTGTGCTTCTCCTAAGGGGTGATGAATTGCTTCTGTATAAAATACATTTATGTCTCCTCAAGTTTTCTCCATTGTGTGATTATCTGACCACTTTTAAGTAAATGACCACTAGGCATGTCTGTTGACCACTTACGAATATGGAGTCATATATCATTCTGTAGTTATATTGAATAGCAAACTTGACTCAGAAATGACTCTGATTGAGAAGTTTTCACCCCTATTCTTTGATTGATAACATAAATGGAAAAGCTCATTTCTACAATAGTCAGTGCAGCTTGATAAATTGATTTTTGGTTAATGCTCACTTTTGGTAGTTCATTTTTAGCATCATTCTACAGTCTGGTAAAGTTATCAAGTATACAGGAGATATAAAAGGGACTCCACTGAGATTTTTCTTAGACGTTACAGCACTTGAAATATTTTTACAAGATTTGTGTACCATTTAATGTAGGTACCTGAATAACTTGTGTGAAAATTTTAATTCAGATTATTCCCTCTTTTTTCCAGCATTAATCATTATTATTATTTAAAATTACCTAAAAATGGAAAGCATTGCAACTCTTTCTACTGAAATCTGGCTAAGAATCACAAAAAATTTTGATATTCCATTTAATTCTTTGTATACATCTTCATTATAGATTTTTCAATTTTTAAGTACTTTAACTCACTTGATCTATAAAAGCATGTCAAATTTTATGTTTTTAGGTTTTTTGACCTCAGTGGAGCTCCTTTAACAAACTTCCTTTTTGGGGCCCAATCATATAACTAAAACTACCAAGAAGTGCCTTTGATTGTTATAAGTGTTCTTTGATCATCAGCCATAAGAATTTCAACTGTTCATTGAAATCTTATTTCAATATTTTCTGCTATTGTAAATTGGAAATAAATAATTATATTTCCAACAGTTATGATACCAAAAACTGTAAATTGTGTAACATTGCAGTATGCACAATTGTTGGATAATAAAAAACCTAAAATAAAAATTTCCTGGCAAAAAAAAAATCTAGGACAAATTCTTAGGAATATTTCTAGTAATTTTTGGAGTTTTCCCAAGAAAGTTGCATCATTTCCTAGATATCTTGCAGTTCTGGAATATCTGTTACTATTTTTAGCTCTGACAATTCTCTCGTATGATTTTCCAATATTTGTATTTTTTCTCGAATGAGTGTACAGGAATCATGAGAATGTTTTCTAATGTAAGGAATCATAAGATTATTACGCTCTCGAAATCTAAATATATGACTAATGTAGAAACATTCAAGAAGATGCTATAACATTAAATTTAAATTCATTACAGTGTGTATTTCATAGGGGCAAAAAGTTCTTAAAAGGTCAGCAACAGTTGCTGTTATGTGTCATTTTTGACATTCTAATGTCATACTGCATTTTAGTGTATTGAAAATTATACAAATTTTATGTGAAAATGTCACTGTTATTAAGTTTTATTGGAACATGTTTGGTTTTATTTGATATCAAGTATGTGTGTAAAATGACAGTATGAATGTCATCAATGGGATATTAATGAATGGATTTATTTAAGAAAGTTTGAATCAGTCTCCAGTCTAATTGTGCATTAAACTTTATTTAAAATTCTTGTAACAGTATCAGAAGGAATATATATATACTTAAATTTAGTTTGGTTTAATGAAATTAACTGAAGATACAAAGCGCAGTACCAGAATTCATGGAGTAGAATTTATGGCAAAGGTACAAGTGTTTTATTTTCTATGACTGTTTTTAGCTCACCTGTGTCAAGTTTTAAACGATCAATCACCAATTATGTATGTAGGAAGGCAATGCTTTACTTTCAAACGATCTTCTGCTTAGCATCTGGGGTAATTTAAATCAAAGTTTACAGGATAATTTCCTGAGTAAAAGTATTTCTAAATTCTTGAAGAATATTTAACATAACTTTGTTGCCTTGGCAACAAATAGGAAAGCTGAACTTAATCAAAAATACATTGTATGGAATTTTGTACATAAAGCAAATTGTTGGCCATTTCTAGAGCCTGACAGCTTCTGCCATGTTGAAACTTCAAATTTTTATTAAGTTATTAAATATACCACATAATGTCATTCATTGAATAATGCTTTTGATCATAATTATATGTGTGCCATTTTTCAATTGTTAAAATGGAATGACAGTATAAGCCATGCATATGACACAAGGAGCCTTTTAATGCGTGCAGCGTTCATAGCTATAGCGAGGTCAAATGTTATGACGGTTATGTACACTTTTTCCATTTATAACAATGTACATAAAATAAAAGTATTTTTGTATTCAAGTTAAAAGTATCCTTGTTGAAACCTTGTAGCCAGCAGATCTTAAAATTTCAGATTAATGATCCTTCACTTCACTCAGTTCAACTTACATTATGTTTGTATAGAAAACAATTGGCTGCGAGGTGTTCTTTTTTTGACAATTTTCCAGGAATGTTTAAAGAAGAAAAAACTGAAAACCTAACTTGTCACACCCTATATGAAATATATTAATTCTTTGAAATGAATCATTCAGCTAGTAAAACTTATGGGACATTTGTATTATGGTAAAAGATTAAAATTTTATTACAATTTTGATTTACATTTTATTTTTGCTTTCTGTTTGCTTGAAGTGATAACAAAATCAACTGATCTGCAATTAAACCTGTTAGAACAGTGGGCAATTTTATAGACATTGTTTTATCATTTAAATTACAGCATCATTTATTGATGGTCTGGGAATCAAATCCTTTAGTCTGAGGTCTGCAGTATAACCTAACAATCTTGGTACTGATTTTAAATGTTGGGTTTCAATTTATCTGTTTAAGGAATTATTTTTAGGTTTTTGATTTGTTTATTTTAGGAATGGTTATGAAAATACCATACAAGATCTGAAATAAAATATAAAACAAAGATGAAATATTCTAATGTGCTTAGTATAACATTGCATCCATAAGGGACAGAATCCTTACACAAATTTAAAATTCAAAATGTATTGTCTCCCTTTGTAAAACTTGATTGTGGTTAAAATATTACATTTTTCGATAATGTTTCAAATGCTATATCAAAGAAAACTTTATGATCCTTGATATGTCAGCAAAATATTTTAAGCAATTTAAATGCAGAGGTGTTGGGTGGGAGGAACATCAACAACATTAAATACATGTTACACACAGTTTTGTCTTTAAAATAATGTTTTTATTGTCAGTCAATTATTAATAGATTAGATATATAACAGCTTAGAATTTGACTGAACCTGAGAATAATTACCAATATTTTATAAATAGTTTCATTTTCTGATATATCATAACATAGTACTTATGTATTTATGTCAAGTTTTGTTTTCTATTCTAATAAATTAGCTTTAAAAATAATAATGCTCCGTCCCCCATTTACTATTTAAATGATCATGACAGCCTAAATAAGAAGGCTGACATTAAAATTCTTTGATCACGAATCAAAAAAATTATCAAATGACTTAAAATGCTTTAAACTTACAGTCAACTGAATAATTACTTTAAAATTACAGCTAATTATAATGCTATCTAATCACTCCATCAATCAAATTACTAAAGAGTTAAGTTCAGAAAAGATTTCTTTCAAGGACAAATAAGGCATTAATTGGTGCAATGTACCGGTATAGACCCAATCTATGTTGAACTTGAAAGATAGACCGTCTTGCTTTGAATTTGGAACTGTTTATTGATAAAAATATAGGGGAGTTCATTATTCAAGTTCTATAAATTATGTATGTAGCATGAACCATCAAATTAGTATATGTATCTGATACTTATTTAAAGACAGTTAAAGACAGTAACTTTGTCGGTTATGGTTCTATGGTTCAACAGTACAAAACATAATAATTAAGCAAGATAAAATTATAAGAAACAAAATTAACAAACAACAAAGATAACATAATTATATACATACAGATAAATTTATATTGACATTCAGGTCATGAAACTAGAGCAATTAGATTGAAAATGGAAAAAATACAGTCCTGTATAATAAAGTTGTTTGGTCATACTGTGCAGAGTCTGGTTATATAATATACTATTA